ATGAGTGATTTAATCCCCTAATAGAGATTAACTGAGTGATAACTGAAGTGGTAGGGCGTGGCTCAAGAAGGTAGGAATTAGGGGCATGGCTTTGGGTATATATTTGTGTTTGGAGAGTGGAATCTCTCTCTGTTTCCTGATCACTGTGATGTGAGCTGCTTCCCTCTGCCACTCTTCTGCCATGATGTTCAGCCTCACCTCGAGCCCCAAGGAATGGAGCCAGCTTTCTATGGACTAAGACCTCTGAAACCATAAGCCCTCAAATAAACTTTTCCTCATTTAAAATTGTTTTGGTCAGATCTTTTAGTCACAGCAGGGAAAAAGCTGACTAAAACACTATTCATATTTTATCTGAAATACAATTTAGACATCCTTTATTTTATTTAAAAATTAGGGTGTTTGAACAACTTTCATCTAAAAATCTATAATTCAACAAAAGGGTTAAATTCAAGGTTTTCTAATAGGTGACCTCTCAGCTTTTCATTGCTGCTGTTTGGAGGAGAAGGGGTGATGGAAACAGGTTGGTTATAAAGATCTGTGGTGAAGGACGATCCCTTACTTCTTTTGACCAGGTGGATGAATAATGGCATTTTTACTTTTGCCTGAACAGTAGTACACCTCCATGCCAGGTTCTTAATCATTCAATAGGTATGGAAATCTCAGAGATACCAACTGTCTTTAAAAAAAAAGTAACTCTTGGATTGGGGTTGTGGCTCAGTGGTAGACCACTTGCCCCTCATGTGTGAGGCACTGGGTTCAATTCTCAGCATCACATAAAAATAAATAAAATAAAGGTATTGTGTCCATCTACAACTAAAAATAAAAATAAAATAAAGGTCCATTGACAACTAAAAATATATTTAAAATTTAAAAAGTAACTCACTCAGACAAATCTGATTTATTGGCCTTAAATGTGAAACAAGACTAAACACAGAGAAATGGACAGATTAGACGAATGCATTCTGCATGTTTAAATATCTACATCCAAAATAAAAGTCAGGAACTTTCTAAATTTTTAAAAAACAATAGGATGAAGGATAAAGGGTATGTGTGTGGGCACACACACACACACACAACCATGAGAGTTGCCTTGCAAATATTTACCCAAGTCTTAATATTATGTCCCATTTTTTATTCACATCTTCCTTTAACAAGCCATTCCCTTGTAATCTAACCTTCATAACAGCCAGGCTCCTCCTTTACAAGCTTTCTCATTCCTGTCTTCCAGGCCCCATCCTCAGTCTGATATGCTGGTCACCCCCACTCTCACTATCCTAATTTCCTGCTCATTATTGAATTTACTAGATATTTGTTAAAGCAATGGGGAAGGAGAATGGCTCACATTACCAAGCTGTTTGTAGTCTGATAGTTTAGACCAGTTATCAACAAAGAAAATATATAGGAAAAGTAATACACAGAACTTCAAAAGTGGAGAAGAGCCTATTGGAGACATTAGCAAAGGCCCAAGGAAAACTGGACTTGGCAATCAGATCTGAACCCACTCCACCCCTACTGCCCAGTGATCTTGGACATATTACTTAACTCGGAGCTTCATTTAATATTTATTTATCTCAGATGATTATTTCCAGGTTTAAAATGAACAATAATATAGAAATGTTTTGTACACTGCAAGACACATTAGTAATAAGTGTACAGTAAAATAACAAAATTATTACAGATGTGTTGTTGGAACTGGGCTGCCACAGTCTGAATAGTAGATCCTCCATTTACTAAGTCAGGCAAACTCAAGTCAATCACTTAACCTCTCTGTGCCTCATTTCCTCACCTTCATGTTATCTGAAAATAATAGTACCTGTCTTATTAGAAGTGTAGAGAGATAAAAGTGATTAATTCATGTCAAAATCTTTATGTGAAAAAAATCATGTAAAACTCCACAGTGTCTGTCGTGGTAAACTCCATAGAAATGTTACCTACTTTAATTATCATGGTCATCATTGTTGTTGTTGTTTTGGGAGATAGTATTTCACAGAAATCTTAATGGACTGGTGATATTTAAACAAGAATAAAGAGACCAGAGAATAGGGAATTAGGAAAGAAAGCTGAAAAATAGCTCATGAAGGCTTGATTAAAGGGCTTGGTGTAAGTCTGAGATACCTATAAATATTGCATTAGAAAGACTATCAAAGTCTTGGGACAGGAAATCCGTGATTATGGTTATATTAGAGTAACCTTGGCAACACTGGTTTGGGGTAGAACAGAAGACCACAGAGGCTGAAAGATTAGTTAGGGAGCTCTGCACCATGTGAGTGAGAAGTCCTGAGAGCCTGAACTGGAAACATCGTATATGTCAACAAAAAAGAGAAGACAAGTTCCCAAGATTATGGAATCAGAACCTAAAGGACATGGCCACTTTGTAGAAGAGGGGACTATGAAGAGGAAGCTAGAGAAGAAACTGCCTCAGAAACAAACTAAATACAGATTGGTTGTAATGAACAACTGGGAGGTGAGACCACAGTTCTTTCTTTAACAAGGGAAACACTGTGCTGGACCTAGACTTTACTCTGCCTAGATGAATACAGAGACAGCATATGGAGAATGAACCAACAAAGACAGAGAAGGAATCAAGATGTGGCACCCATGGACACGGAAGCAGCAAAACACAAAAAGTTGTTTCATTAAAAAAAGAGAACATCCACCCAGCAAAGTAGGGGATGGGGAAAAGTAAGCATCAATCTATGCTCATCATCTTCCCAGAAGCCAGCACTCACCCCTTCCGGCTGAGACTGTAACTCTTCCTCTCTGGTCTCAGCACTGCTGTTATAAAGCCCATTAGAGATCTTATCAGAGAGTAGTGAAATTGTCTATCCACTGGCTGGTCTGATGGCAAAAACTGGTAGTAAATGTGTTCAGTAAGTGATCAGGGATTGAACAAATGCACAAGTTCATGGCCCTTAGGATCTGGTCCAGGATTTGTCCTATCTTCAGTGGCAGGCCTGATTACTTTGTAATTTGTCCACTTGATTGGCTACCAAGTAAATGGAATGAACGAACGGTTCTCAAAAGGTGTTTCCAAAAGCGCTTGTGGTTCCTTGAAACACCTGACCCCCACCTGGCCTCATCCCACTGCCTAGAGACCATCCAGAGTAACAGCTGGGAAGAGCAAGGACAAGAACCATTGTTCTGAGAGACTGGATAGAAGAAGCGCTTGAATACTTGCCGCAGTCTGGCTGGGCACAAATAACTGGGGTCATGAGCCACTTGTAGGTTCAAACAGGAACTACTTTATTTCCAGAACCCCACGGGAACTCTCCAGAACTCTCCGGAAACTCCGCAAGAACCAACGGAAACTCAAAAGTATCAGGCACCCGAGGCAGCAGGAGCCGCCCCACTGCCGGACAGCAGAGGTCCACATACACAACTGAGTACACATTTTTAAAGTTTGAAATATATTTACATTCTTCAAATTACAGAAGATTCATATAAAGTCCTGTCTTTTATTTTTAAATTATTGTCCAAATATCTTAACATGATATGATTCCAAACTTTCCCACCATTTTCCTTTTCACTATGCACCCACGTGATAGAAGTTAGGCATAGGCGTGCTTCCGCTTTCCTGAATGTGGCTTATTTTCTAAAGTCCCTCAGTTTTCCAATGTTACACCTCAAGAGTTATTCTCCAAGATGCCCATGAATACATCAATACAGGTTATTCTTGGAAATTTGAAGCTTTATTCAGCTTCCCACTAAATTTCTCTTTTAATTGTGTGGGAGGAGAGCCTGGGAGACCTGGGTGTGTGCATGCTGGCTACCAAGAGCCAATTTGTGCTCTTCTCTCCCCAACTCCACATTCAGGGACATCATGTTGGTAACCTGAAATCAATCATGCTGGGAGGATTTGCCCTATGGAAATCCTCACATGCTACAAATCAGGGCTTTTATCTCTCCAGAGATGCAGTTTATCAGCACACCCTCAATTTTTTTAGGTTCCTTACATGAAATTAATGCATAGCCAGGGTTGAGGCCTTCCACAAAGAAAGGAATAGCTAAAGAGTTAATTATTCAGGAGTTTTACAATTACATGTTAGCAGTCCTGTTACCTGTGCCAGTAGGTGTCCAATATTTTATATTTCAACATTCTTCTAAAAATCTATGTGTAGACTTTTTGGTTGACTCTAATTATTATTATTATTATTGTTGTTATTTGTATCAGGAATTGAATCCAGGGGTGCTTTACCATTGAGATACATCCCCAGTTCTTTTTATATTTTTATTCTGAGACAAGGTCTCACTACATTGATGAAGCTGGCCTCCAACCTGCAATCCTCCTGCCTCAGCTTCCCAAATCACTGAACTATAGGTGTGTACTTTTGGTAGAGATGATGTGATATGTCCTCCTTAGTGCATCTAAATTAACTAAATTAACTCTAATTTTTAATGTTTGCAAAGTTTTGATTTAAAAGATTAGCCATAGAATTTGATGATAAAATAAATATAATCTTGTCCAACTCTTTGAGAGTTAAAAAAAAATAAATTAACAATAACTAAGATTAGAGAAACCGAGGCTCACTTGTGTCCACTAAACTATGTAAAGGCAGCACCAACATTAAAATCTGTACCTGCTATTTCAACACCTGGATTTTCACATGAGTTAACAGGGTGGGTTGTTCAAAAAAAGAAGAGTAGGAAACAGAGTTCCATTATGACTCTCAAGTCTCATTTAGCGGGGCCTTTCCGAGTGGTGATCCTGTCTATGACACTAAAAAAAAACTTATGCTGTCAAATTAAAATGTCTAGGATAGCACTGGAGTGAAATAATTAAGTAATGAACATATTTCCCTACTCATTGTTTCAGTACAGCAAGTACATGAAATCATCTCTCGTAGAAAGAAGGGTTCTATCCTCACAGGATGATCAATTACAGCAGATTAGTTCCTGCTATTGCAATTCTCTCTCATAATCTTGTGGACTGATAAAATGTGATATATTACCAGTTATTCCTTTTAACCATAATTTTAAAAAAAAAGACATAAACACTGTACCCATGCAAGAAGCAACAGATTTCTCTTCACTGTTCCACAATATCCCAACATCCCCACAATGATAAGGAAACAGCACACAGCAATCATGACCGGATGAACCACAGGAAAGTAAGTCAAGATGACTGCCTCCTCCACCCTGAAAGAAAAAAACCATAGCATGTTATAAGTAAAATGGACTCAAAACACACCCAAGACATTGTGCCAGATGCAACTGTGAACCATGATTCTTTGAAACATCACCCTTAAAGCTAATAGTGATATTGCCTCTTTCAAAACCTTGGTGCTATTTTTGTGTTTATTTGTTTGCTTCCTCTTTCATTGTTTTTGTTTCGTTTTGTTGTTGTGCAAATGGAAGAAGTCTTATCCAACTCATTTAAAATATAATAAAACACAATATTATAAAATATAATATAAGCTCTGAAGCCTTAGCCTACTCAAACTGCATGGGATCCTTGGCAATTTCCCAGCTAGGGGGGAGGATCACCTTCGCTCCTCTGATCTTTCACTCCATGTGCATAACATCTCTCCTCCCTGACAACTGTGAGAAAGACTTTCCCCTCCTCTAAAGTGGGAAAGAATGCCATGCAGAGGGAATTGATTTATATTCACAGAAGAAAAGAGATGATTTTTGCTAGAATAGTACAAAAATGCATTAATTGGAATTAATGATGATAATAATAATAACAAAAGTCAACCATTATTAAGAGTGTAAAAGCTTTGTTGTGTTTAGGACTTTAAAGAAAGGTATCTAATTTAATCCTTACCACAGTTCTAAGGGTTATACACTACAATTTACACTCTGAGATGAGGAAAAGTAATTTGTCCCTTGTGATATTAGTGGATCATCCCTTGAAACTTGAGAAAAAAAAAAAAAAAAACGTCAATGCAAGGTTTTCATTAGCCCAGGAATATGAAGGTATGAAGTTGGCAATGGTTTCCTTGGGGAACAGTAGCCAAGCTTTCCTTTATACACAAATATAACATGGCTGGCACACCGTCAGGAGGACAAGTGACTGGGGTTACCATACTCAGAAAGTCCCACACAAACATAAGCCACTGGATCCCCTTGGGGACCAGCAGCACACCTCAGGGAGAATGCTAAAAGTACAGCCTTTGCAACAAGGTGCCATGGGCAGGTGCCATGGGCAGGTGCCATGGGCAGGACTACAAGGTTCTGGAGGAGCCCCACACCTATCAGGTATATAAACATGAGGATTGGAGGAAACCCGATGGAAGAATTCAATAGGTAATCACAAAGCCTACCTTGTTTCTGCAGTTAAAGTGAGAACATTATTCAGGTAGTCCCTCATCCAAGCAGAAACTGCCAACACACTGATGGACATTAACTAAGGAGAAAAAATGTGAAATGGTTACCGGGATTTATGCAAAACTCACTATAGGATTAATAACTGAAAAATTAAGAATTGTTGTTACATAATCCTTATAGTCTAATTACTATTTGTAACCTATTTACAATTACTATAAATATAGGCCATTTTGTTTAGTAAATCGTACCATAACCACTAAATAGAATACCACCAAATAGGATACAGAAAACTCAAGAATTAAATGGCTGACTTCAGGTTCAGGAGAGAAATTACCTCAGCTGGGATCACAGAACTAAATTATCAGACATAAGATGAGCCTAAAACACACTCTCATACTTAAAAGCAAAGAAAAAATTAAATGTGACTACTGGGCAATTAAACAGAATTTTAAAAAAAAAGTCACGGATCTAATTTAAATGGGCTTCTCTTGGCTACAATTCAGACAAAATGTAAGCATTAAAATAATAGCACTACTAATAATAAATGCAATGGTTGAAACATAACAAATGTTCTAAAAATCTATAAACTCAAAATATTTAAGAAAATTCATTATTCACCTATATAGGACATTGGATACTTGACTCATTATAGGACTCCACTATTTATATTTATCCTACTTTTCCTATAAACAATTTTAAGGGAAACCAAAGACTGAAAGCTTTAATAGAAAACTTTCTGCTACTATATGCAGAAATTACACCATAGCACCCCAGTTAGGGAAACTTCCGCCATGGCTACCAAATTTATCAGGTCAGGAATTTTCAATCCTGTCTGTACATTAGAATCACTACAGTCTGAATAAATTACTGGGTCCAGTCACCCTGGACTAATTCTGAAGAGGAAATTGTGCATCTGAAATGTGTCAGAGCTCCACAGATGTTCCCATGTGCAGGGCTGAGAACCACTGAATAGTTTTCATGTGTAAAGTTCATGGGGACTTTTAGAATGGAGAGATCAGATTGAGGAGACCAGACCCATTGATCAATCTTAGTCACAAAAAAAGACCACCAGTCACAATGTGTATCCCAATGTGATGTGATCAGAAATAGCTCCTAAATATTTTTACCCAAAAGTCAAACTACAATCTAGGCCTCCAATTCTAATTACTGGTGTATAGGAAGTACAGAGGATAAATTTAAACTTGTTAAATGTCACCATCGGGATGTAATCAGTAAAATCAGAACGTGAGATGAATGATATGGTTTCTTTGACTTAAAAAACTGGCAAATGAAAAAATGAAGGGAGGAAAAACTATTATAGATTAAAAGAGATTGAAGATATTACCCAGTATAATATACTTATTTGGTTTGTATCCTGATTTAAACAATTCAACTGCAAGAAACATTTATGTGACAACTGGGGAAATTTTAACACTGATTGGTTGTCTGAAAATATTAAAAATTATCTTCATTATTTTAGGTATAAAAATGGGTTAGGTTTATGTTTATTTTCAAAGGGACCTTATGATCTAGACAAATATTCTGAAGTAATTATAACTGAAATATCATGATGACTGGGATATGGTGTCATAAATAATCATGATATGTAAAGGTTAGGGAAAAAGTAGAAGAGGGTATCTTGATAATTATAGACAGTGGGTAATGGGTAACTTGGGATTAATTATGCTATGCTTCCTACTTTAGCATGTTTTAAATTTTCCATAACTCAAAACTTTTTTTAATATTATTTTAGTTGTAGATGAACACAATATCTTTATTTTATTATTAGTATTTGTGTGTGTGTGTGTGTGTGTGTGTTGCTGAGGATTGAACCCAGTGCCTCACTCATGCTAGGCAAGTAAGTGCTTTACTACGAGCTTCTACTCCAGCCCCCGATAACTCAAAACTTTAAAAAAATCCTATCTAAAATATGTTGAGAATGAGTCTTCCTGGAAAACTTCTAAAAACTGCATGTCAACTGCTATATTCTAAAGGGTTTTCCTATTTGGGTGGGAATCTTGCTAAAATGTGCCTTGTACTTACCATCTTAAGTGAAGTATAGTAAAATTCAATTTCCTGACTTTGAGCAATTTCTAGCATCTTAATGAACAACAGTTACAGTTCTGTCACAGATTTAGCTTTAAACACTGATATAATGAATATCTAAAGTACAAATGATTCTGTGCTGATGCAAAGGATGGCCATGAAATATGTTTTCCAGATAAAAGTTCTAAGAAGAGCCTGTGGCCTCTTGAACAGTGAAGAATGGTTATCTGCTTTGGAAACCAGCTAATGAATTCACTCTTACACCATTTATTTACAAATATTTACTCAACACCTCCTATCTCCCTTGCACCAGGCTAGATCAGAGATTCACAATGAATAAAAGAAACAAGATCCTGGCCATTTTGAAGCTCCAAGGAGGACACAGATAATAAACATTTACATGAAATAATTAAAAATTGTAAAAAGTGCCATGAAGCCCAGATAAGTGACCTGTTGAAGTTCTCACAGACCTTGAGTAGCATATCTGAGTAGCAAACCTTGAGTACCAAATCCAAGCCCTTGGGCTTTGAAGTACCGGGATAAGTCCCTAACTATCACCCAAGTTTAGAAATCAGCGTGCCATGTTTCACAAAGAGTGAGGAGACCAGCCTAGAGAGTGAAGGATTCCTTTTTTAAAAAGGAAGGCTGTGAGTATTCTGTAGCAGTCAGGATGGATCTAAATATCCGAACGGCATTCTCTGGTGAATGGGGGCTCAATGGTTCTTAACCTGCATATAGAAATGTATTTCATCATAACTAATTTACTCTGTATGCCAATACAGTTTATATGCATATTAAAATACAATTATTCAGAAAATGATCTACAGGCTTTATAAAACTTCCAAAGGAGTTGACAGTCTAAGTCAGGTTTAAGAACCCTGGGACCACAGTTCAAGGAGAATGATGCCAGTTATTATTAATTTTCAGTTCTTTTGGGAATGAAGAACAAATTGCAAACTTAATAAAATCTACCAAGTGGGTCAGCCACAGTGTATTAGCCACCCTTTCTAGCTTCTGCAAACTTGATGCTTTAACATTTGTTCTGCATGCAGATACTGGACAGACCCTGTTCCAGAAAAGATGATAATATGTGAGTCACCTTGCCTTGACCTTCTTCCACCCTTAATCTACCCTCTCCATAGGAGAGTCTTCCTCCCAGGTGCACTTTTCAAATATAAACCAACAGTTCCAGAATCCATACCCTCAAGGACTTCCCTTATCAGGCTCTCACACTCAGGGCCACCACACCTGTCCTAATCACCCCAGAGCCAATTTTCAAACTAGCCAGTTCTAAAGCTGCTTACCCTGCCTCACCCATTCCTTTTGATGGAAACCACAATTTTAAAGCACTCACCCACAGTTCCAATCTCTCCCTCTGCTCTGCCTGCCACCAAACCTATTGCTTCCCCTGTTAGCCCCCCACCCCATAGGGAGACATATACTCTTTTTCTTGGGATCTGCAAGCAAAATAAACCATCTTTTCAATGGCATTTATCTACTGATCCATTGGCCTTAGGATACCTAATTAATAATAGAATCTATTATAACACAAAGGACTGTCAGAGAACCATGAACTCCTTAAATCTGAGATTATGTGTTGTTCTTCTGCATGGCTACATGTGGGTCTTTAAATACCTTGTAAGTGTCACAGGGACAGGCTAGCTTATTAACGTGCTATTTTATTTCATAGTCTTGAATTATTTTGCAGTTAAAACAACTGTCCTTTCTTTATCACACTTCAAAATAATGACTGATGTCTATTTCCACAGCCTTGAATTTCTTACAGGCTGTGTAGTCAATTTTCAACATCATAAATAGCTCTGAGTCAGGTGTCAATAAGTTATCTGATCCTTCAATGTGTATAATCTGTTAACACTGCCTGGCTATCCACTGTTCTTCCACTTATAACAAAAATATGTATTTGTTTTGGGGAGTATAATTCAAGATGTTTCTTATTTGGTAGGATAATTGAAATCTGGGCTTTGATGTCGTTCTTCTTTTCAAATAAAAAAAAAAAAAAGATGTATTGGTCATCTCTCATTGCCTGTGTGCTATGCTATGTGCTAGAGAGACATGGATGTGCAGAAACAGGGACTCCATGGTGCAATTAACTAAGTGAAAAGGACACACATTAATCAACTCATCCAAGATATAAATATGCAACTGCAAACTGTACTTAGTGTTGGAAAGAAATAGCACAAGTTGATTTAAGAAATCATTTTTGGAGTTTCTGACCTGTTCTGGAGGGTCAGAGGAACTTCTCTAAGAGAGCTAAGATCTGAAGAATATTGTCAAGCTAATTAGGAAGAGAGGGGTTGAAAAGAGCAATCCAGTCAGAAAGAAGAGCAAAGGTCTCAGGGCGAAGACAGCATGACATGTTCAAGGAAGGGCAACTGGCACATGGAGGGGATGCTCAAACAGGCAAGGGGCAGACCAGAGTCTCAGAAGCCACTTCAAGGTGTGTGGCCTTGACCAGGATGACAATAGGAGTCAAAGAATTCTGAATTCCAGTTAAAAAATCTCAACTCCTTTTCACTTCTATGACTTTGGGCATACCATTTAATCTTTCTTTAACCTCAGGGTTTTTGGGTTTTTTGTTTGTTTGTTTTTTCAAATAGCAAGTGTGATAAAAAATAAATCCTACCAGAGAAAATTCATATGATGAAAAAAACCAGAATAATAAGATCCATATATGTTACCTCTTATTATCACAAGTCATTTTTGACCTAAGGGCTTTCCTTTAATCTTTTCAGTCAGTTTAAGAGATTCAACTACTCCTAAATCAGTTCAAGAATAGAATCCTCAGATATTTGAAGGTCTACCAAATGGAAGTGGGAGGAAGCCCCCTGATACTGGGCTGGGGGATGACCACGCTCATTCTCAATTTCAACATCTCTAAAACTTAACTCCTCTCTGTTCCTCTCAAAGCTTGTGTGTCCCTCCCACTGTTTTTTCTGTCTTAGTAAATGGTATAATCAACCTTTCAATCACATAAACTGGCAACTTGGCAGACAGCCTGAAACTCTCCCTTTT